CATGAAGTGTTAACGATTATCTTTTTATCCGAAGTATCCATGAGTAAAGCTGTGAACGTAGTGAACGTACTGTACTTAAAGCAGTCGTTCATGGTGATACAGCATTGAAACAATTTTAATTTTTACCGTATTGTGCTAAACAAAATTCGTTTTCTATGCAAAGTTATTACGTAATCAATTGGACTGTTGTAGTGTTCATAGATACAGTTTCGTTTGCATCGTATTAAAGTTCTCTCTAGTAGTTACTGTACGTCTTATGGGTTTTATTTATTATGTTTCTTTTTCAAATTAAGGTTTAATTTTTTTAAAAAAAAAAATTATTTGACAAGTTTAATAAGTGGGCTGATTCAAAAATTTTGTCATTGGATTTGTATTTGCACGTGAATTAAAGTTTAATGAATTTTTTTTTTTTAAATTTTTCTTTTAAACATAACAACAACGTTACTATACTTATGTTCGCTGGAAGAATGGTCTAAGTGCAACCCAGGTTCACGCCGAGTTAGGCATTGCTGAAGGAAGTTGCGCACTATCAAAACGCACAATTGAACGTTGGATTTTGGTATTCAATAATGGAAATGAATCCATCGAAGACAAACCTCGTTCCGGAAATCTCCGCGAAGCAACCATCCTTCAAAAATTGCCAAAATCAAAGAATTGGTAATTGAAGACCCCATCTTAGTACCAGAGAATTAGCTAGTCTTGTTGGTATTTCTCAAGCTCAAACAGATCGTATACTTACTAATAAATTGAACATGCACAAAGTATGTGCAAAATGGATACCGCATCTCCTCTTCGATCAAGACAAAAAAAAACGTGTTGAACTTTCCCGAAAGCTTTTAAAAGTTTTGCAAAAAGGTTACAATAATATCTTTACTGGTGATGAAACCTGGATTTATTTTTTTACTATATCAAGAAAAGAAGATAACAAACAATGGGTTGAAAATGGAGAAAATCAACCACAAATCGTTCGGGAGCGGTGACTTGTAAAGTTGTAAAAAAAGGTTCTGCCGTTAATACCAAGTGTTATTTTGGAGATGTTTTACCTGAAGTTTTTAATAATTTCAAAAAAAAGGAAAGGCAAACCGTAAGAAATGTTATGCTTCACCACGACAACGCCTCTTCACATAAAGCTACCATTGTTACCGAGTATTTGGAGCAAGAACTTGTGATTTGCAGTACTTCCCCATCCACCTTACAGCCCCGATCTAGTACTGTGTGGCTTTTTTTTTGTTCACTAAACTAAAAAAGGAGTTGTCTGGTCGGTATTTTTGATCAAATAGAAAATCTTGCATTGTGCGGTAAATTCAATTATTAAGTCTATTCCAAATTGGGAATATGAAAAATGTTTCCCAAAATTGGAAAACCCAGCTCAACGTTATATAGAGAGTATTTTGAAGGAATAAAATAATTTTTTTTTATTTTAGTGAATAAAAAAGTGACACAATTATATTGCGACAAGTCTTTTGAATCAGCCCACGTAGATCAATAAAAAAATGTCATAAATATATGCTTATACTAAATTTTTACATTAGTGATACTGTAAATAATAACTTTTGTTCTACCTTTAGAGAATGATAATTATTTATTTTGCAGTGTCTATTATTGTTTTTATGTGCAGTATATTTGGTACGTACAGTAAATTGGGAAGCTTTATATTGACTGAATTTTAGATTTTAAAAAATTTAAATATTTATTAATCATAAAGTATATTCATTAATCATAAAGTATATTTAATTCGAAATTATAACCTTAAAATACTTATCCTAAAATTTTAATTGAAAATTTTATATTCTTTATTTTATTATTATTATTTTTTAACTAAAATTATATTAAATAAAATACTGTAATTATAATGTAATAAAATAAATATAAGATAGAACTTATATGAAAGAAAAATAGTTGAATTTAAAGTCAATAGTTATTGCCTATACTTTGAGTTCAATATTGTATTTTTATATATTATATAAACTTGAAATTAAAAATATAAATTTTTCAATAGCAAGTAATTAAAATAAAAAAAAAAAATTTTTTTTTTTTTATATTTCAATATTAAGGGTTTAAAATCATTATATTTTAATTTAATTTTACTTGAAATTGTTAAAATTATTAGTTTTAAAAATTATTACTATTATTAAAAATTTTACTTTTCAATAATATATTATTTGTTAAATTTTATTAAATATTAAAAAGATTGAAATTTTAGTTTTACATTTTATATAAATTGAATATTTTTATTTGAGTAAATAATCCTTATCTGTTTTTATTATTTATTATTATTAAAATATTATTTGCTTTTATTTAAATATAACAAGCATAAAAGTCTAGGCTATGCTTTAAGATTAGTTGTTTAAGTTTTACTTTTTTAAAATTTTTATTTTTTATAAAAATAGTTTTTTATTTAAAAATAATTTTTATTTAAAAAATTGTTTCTTATATAGTTTACATTTAAATAACATAAAGGCCTTGACTATATGTCAAGATTATTTATTTTAGTTTTATTTTTTTAAAAATTTTAAAATAAATAATTTTTTATTAAAAATTTTAAAATAAATAATTTTTTATTAAAAATTTTTTATTTTTTATATAGTTTAATTTTAAATAGCATAAATATATGGGCTATACTCCAGAATTAGTTATTTAAGTTTACTTTTTTTAAAATTTTAAAAATTGTATTTAATTTTTATAAAAAATAGTTTTATTAAAAATTTTTATTTTTTGTATGGTTTAATTTTAAATAGTATAAAAGTCTGGACTTTACAAATTGTGTTTAATTTTTATATTTTTATATAAAAAATAGTTTGTATAAAAAAAGATTTATTTTTAATTGTTATTTAAAAAAAAAAACTTTATTTTTATTTTTTATTTTTAAAAAAAGTTTATATGAATTTTTATTTTTTTTTTATTTGTATAAAAGAAAAAAATATTTATTTTTAATTTTATTTAAAATAAAAGCTTTATTTTACTTTTTGTTTTAAAAAATAAGATTTATTTTAATTTTAATTTTTTTCTTTTCATTTTAAAAAAAAAGTTTATTTTTTCTTTTTATTCAAAAAAATAAACTTTTATTTTATTTTAATTTTAAAAGAAAAGTTAAAGAAAAGAAAAAAGTTTTATTTTTAATTTCTATTTTAAATGAAAAAAAAGTTTTATCTTTAATTTCTATTTTTAAAAAAAAACTTCTTTGTTATTTTTTATTCTAAAAAATTTTTTTATTTTTAATTTTTATTTTTTTTAATGTTTATATTTTTAAAAAAAATAATTTGATCCTAAAAAAAAAGTTTTTTTTAATAAAATGAATTTTATTTTTTTTATTTATAATTTTTATAATTTTTTTTATTTTAATTTTTTTTAATTTATAAAAAAAGAAAATTTTATAAATTTCAATTTTTTTTTTATAATTTCTATTTTATAATTTTTTTTTTTTAAAAAAAATAAAAGTAAACTACTTTATATTTTTATTTTTTATTATAAAAATTTTTTCTATATATAATATTTTTTATATATATTCTATCTTTTCTTATTATATGTCTATTTTTTATTATGATTTTATTATTATTTTTGGATAGAATTCTAGATATGGCTATATATAATTATCTATAGATAAAAACTGATTCAAGTAAATACAATCTCAAATTTGTGATTATTTGATCTTATACCTTATTTATGATGATTATAAAGAATAATTTAATAAGAAATTGTCTTTTGATTAATTGAATTGTGAAATCAAAACAGTTGATATCAATTTTATTCATGATATAAAAACTCTTTTTCCTTTATTAATTCTTGTTAGAATCTTCACATCAATAATATATATATTTTTTACCTGGCAAAGTCCTGCCATTGAATTTTTATTTATTTATTAATACAGGCTTATGTACACAAATTTAATTACAAGTCTATATATTTATGAAAAAAAAAAAACACTATAACTCAGTATTCTATTACTAAAAACTCTATGATTTGCTATAGTCCACCTTAGTAGGTACTAGCATATCAAGACTCTACTAACACTAATGTTAATAGAAAAGAAAAAAAGGGGGAAATAGCTGTTTCTTTAAGTTTTTTCTGTTATAATATTTGTTAGTTCTATGTATAGTTCCTCAAACCTGTCCTTTAGGGGTTTCTTTAAATCAATTTGAGCCTGTTTTGGCTCTGAATTGGCATCAAAACTTTTAATAGCCTGTGTTGTTGATAAGTTAAAGCTTTGTGATATGGTTTGTTAATTATTTGTATTACCGTTGCCTTGCTTCTTCTGTGTTTAAGTTTTTTATTTATGCTTTGACTTTTTTTCTAATTTATTATAATATTATATCTAAGTTTCCAAGCTTCTCACTTGACTTGTCAAAACTGTGTGTTGCTTCTTGGATTGCTTTCAGTTCTCTAGATCTGTCTTTTATTATAGTCTTTGCTACTTATATTATACTATGTGTTATGATTCCCTTAACAATATCCTTCCATTCGATTTTGTACCATGCTTTGCTTTTATGTTTTTCTTATGTTCTTATGTTATTTGTGTTCTTTTCCATTTGTTTTGGATTGGTTCTGTCTGTTTGCCTTTAGCTCTTACTGTACTTTTCTCTGTCAGGGCCTGTATAAACTCTTCTTAAAGTCTTGTTTATGTTGTGCCACATTGAAAGATATGGTCATTGATTTCTTTATACTGTTTACAGATTTTGCATTTGTCATTGGGATAAATATCAGGACATCTTTCATTTAGTTTGTCCATGGTAGGTAGTTCTCCTATCAATGTTTTAATTCTGAATGAGTGATCCATATGATCTCTCATATTGATTATATTGCTATGATCACTGTTGATATTAGGAGCTCAAAATCAGAGGCCAGTGAATTTTTCTAGATTTTTTCTGATTCAGCCAGTCCTGATTTATTATTGAGTATTTGTCTTGTTAAAGGCTTGATTTCAATATCATATTGTTTTTAGTTCCATATAATGAGCATGTTTGTTAATATAGAGGTTTGTATATTTATTGTTATAGTATATTTAGATTTATTTGTGAGATTTGTTGAGACTAGTTGATCTACCTTTTTATTGCCTAGAATGCCAGAGTAACTCTTAACTTTTGTTTAACTGATTGCAAGTCTTTTGATTTTTATTAGGTTCTTAATAGTATTACTGAGAATTCAGTCAGAGGAAACTGAAAAAAAACTCTTTCCCACAGATCCTTTTTTTTAAAAAAATTTCTTTTTTAGGCAATTTTGGGAAATAAGAAGAAAAGTGAATGAAAAGATGAATTCTCCTAAAGACTGAAGGAGTCAATACACCCAGAGCAGACCCAACTACAATGAGAACACCCTTGTAAAAGGTAACACAAGATTGCTATACAAAGAAACCCATATGGAGACAACAAAGTCAAACCCAAAAAACAAAGGAAAAGAGAGAGAAACCCCTCCAGAAAACGTTAGGAATGAACAACCAAGCAACCAGAACACTAGCCAGACCTCAACCACTAACACAGAAACCATCAGAGAAAAGAAAATCAATCAGAAACAACCAACTTGGAGTAATGAAGTGGAAGGAACAATCACACAAGATACTCAAACTGTAAATAGCAACAAAAATAAAAACACTCAAGAAACCAAACAGAGCAAAGACTGCTCGCTTTATTCACAGTGGCAAGAATAGATAATTTAGATATAGAAATG